AAGAGAAACGTCGTGTTATCTTTATGGGAAGCGCGCAAACTGGAAAGACATACATTATCATGAATTATTTGCATAAAAAATATCGAGACGAACATAACCAAATCCGGGAAAAAATGATTGTTATTGATTATTATGCTCCAGACGGTTCGTCACTGAAGTTGGAGATAGTTGATACCTCTGGGTCATATATTTCGCCAGCTTTACGAGAGTTATCTATAATAACATCGGATATTTTTATTTTAGTCTATGCTGTGGATGATATCGATTCGTGGATCAATGTTATAAATCTGAGTAAACAGGTGAATAAAGTTGAACAACTAATATATATTAAAGAAAAGTAAAAGATTTCTGAAAATATTGTTGAGAATTTGATGAAATCTTAAATTCTATTTTAGAAACGTAAGCAGGTGATAATAACGTGGTTTTAGTCGATAAGACCATGTTATAAAGCAATATTATACACACATATAAAAACACAACCTAAATATACATTTTCAGGTAATGCAATATTATGAAGTGATTAAATGATTTTCACCGATCAAAAGCTGCAAGTCTACCAGCAATATCAAATAAATTTATCCAAAAAACGAATGTACCGTCTTATATTGCTTTACAAATCATGTTAGTGAAAGATTTTATATACTCGATTGAGCTAAAACTAATACCAGAAACATAGAAATGTGAAGACATGTAGTTTACATCTGATCAAAAAATCGGAAATTCTGAAAAGGTACACGCAATATATTGCTTTCTATTTCGAAATGCAATTGTATGTATACCATGATAAAGTTTTTTTCGCGTAGTCCTTTTTAAGTCTTCAGTAATGTCCTGTAATACCGAGAAATTATTTTATATCGTTTTGATTGTTAGGAAGTCGAATTCTTTCTATTACTTCTATCTTTTTATTGGTGATCAAATATTCTGGAAAATCTCTTTCTTCCTTAAGAAACTGACACTTATTTAGTTGAACTTTTAAATTTATTTCTTTTAAACGATTTATAATATTATTTATTGACTTCATATATTATTTTACGCTTGCGGAGAATATGAGGATGTCATCAAGATATATAATGCAGAACTTTATTCATTAGCCTTGGGAACATTGCAGGGACATTTCGTAGCCCAAGTGGCATACGAAGAAATTCCAAATGACCGTCAGCAGTTGAAAACGCGGTTTTATAGATATCTTCGGCGTCAATTTCTATTTCCTGAAATACTTTGTCTAAATTGAGGATCGTATTTTCCACTATGTCAAATATAACTTCTATATTTAAAATTGGGAATCTATCTTCCGTAGTTATACTATTTAATTTTCTATAGTATATTACAAAACGCCAAGATTGATTTTTCGACGCATCAAGTTTCTATGGAACTGTCCAAATTGAAGTGTTGTAAGGACTAGTAGATTCTCTATTATGCCTTTTAGTAACATTTGTGCTATCTGCCCATTGATTTCTTTTTTGTGTATTTCTGTATACCTATAAATCTTGAAAAATTCAGGTATATCAGGCTATCTAGTGTTTGACTTGGCTTGCAAATGTTAAATTTCCTTCTTCATTGTAAAAAATTGTTTTGTATTTTCTTAATACTGCTATTAACGTTTTGCAGTCCATATTATTTAAATGATATTATTTTCATTTAATTAAATGAAAATTATTTAAATCATTGTTCTTAACTGGGTTATTAAACATTTCAATTATATTCTCATTTCAATTATATTCAATCAAATATTCTCATTATTATAAAAATTAAATCTGTTAAAATATTATTCTGTTATTTTACGAGACCATCGAAATATCTATAAAAATTACATTTCATACATGTAAACTTCTTCTTTAAAAGTTTAAAATTTACATAGTTTTTGTATTTATGGCCACTCTATTAGTTTTCTATTTTGGATTACAAATATATTTTTTGATCAAATTCAACTTTGCTCCAGTATCGATTATGAAATATACCTTTCTTTAGTGCGTCTCGATTATTATATAGAGTACTTGTTTTTTCCGTCTATGTAAAAATGTAGAGATGAATTCATTCATAGGTTTTGGTCTATTGCTTTCATTTGAATTCATGGATATTCTAGTTTCTGTCCAAGAAACGTAGAATCATTATGTGAATGGTTATAGCGATTTAATACTCCCTCTGGAAAGCTATTATATTGCTGTTTAAAATTTTGATAATTATGTGGTGTTGCCACATGAATACTGTTATGACTATATCTTAAGGGTTGACAATAATGTGATGCTACTCTTAAGTTATTATTGAACCCATATCTGTACGCTTACTTTTGTTCATGCATTTCTGATGCACTAATATAATAGTTCTATGGAAAAGATTGACACTGTTTTGGTCTTGCTCCTGAATTAGATCTATTCTTAGAGGATTGGCACCTTTATGTTAATATTAATTTTAAGGTGGTAGTTTTCTATTACTGAGTCAAGTATGATCGTTTTTAATTGATTCATTAATTACACTGTTGTTTTATTTTTACCAAATTTCGCTAAAATAATTGATTTTAAATCACTCCATTCTCATATTTGTCCATTTATATGTGTAGACGTCGACATTCTCATTCATCACAGCAAGCTTGATTTCAATTCGAGTATATTGACAATACAAAATTTGGAAAATTTTAGTAAGAAAATTATTTTCCTAGAAGAAGTTTTAGTTTTCTGCTTAAGGAAATAAACACAACACAATAAATAAAACAACACAAATAAAATATGTTATAGCCTCTGTGTTTACAGTACTGCTAACGTAAGATTACTGTTTCAAGCACAGATACCACACTATATATGTATTATTTCCCTATACACTTCATTTTTATTTCTTAAAAACAAGACCACTATCTTATGTGTTATATACTTATGCGTTAAGGTATATTCATTCAAAAAAAACAAAAAATTGTTTTAAACACAATACAATTTAATTGTAACCGCAGTACTAATTTATTAATGAAATCAATATTAAACGTATTTTTATTTATGCAGATACTGAAACAACATAGGTCAGGAGTTCCAATCATTATTGTTGGTAACAAAATTGATCTCCTCGATAGTGAACTTGAAGAGGAACACAAAAATGCTAATACAATTACTCACAATGGATGGAATTCTGTTTTCGTTGGATGCTCTGCAAAGCTAAATAAGGGCGTTATAAAAGTATTCAATCAGGCATTAAAACAGGCTGATATAAGTTACAGCGTTGTCCAGAGATATCAATCTTTACTCGAATTTTTTCCAATAGAAGATACCGAAAGTTCAGCTTGTAGTGCATATATAATGAGGCGAAAATCATATTAAGTAATCAAAACACTTGTTCTAACAAAAGCTATTGTTTTTAATATATAATATATAGTATCAAAAAAAAATTTATATACTAATCTACTTTTGTACAAAAGTAATTGTTTTGTGATAGGATTTATAAAAAATTAAAGAATTGAATGAGACTTTAAATACGAGATACAAGCCAGCAACGCTTTAAATAAATAAAAGCAAAGTTAATGTGATAAACTGAAATGTTATTTTTTTGAAAAATATTACAAATTGATACAAATATATGTACAGAGATTATTTTATTATGGGTCTTTAAAAGGTTGATAGGTTGATGAAAAGTTTAAACAATATATGATAACTCAAAAGATTGTGTGATTAGTTGCTTATGAAGTATGTACGTATGTATTATTAACCTTTTAACCAATAATTAATTAAATGGTTTGGACAATTGAAACATACCAATTTTATAAATTTTATGTATTTAAAAAAGATGTGAAAAATATAATTATGTTTATATCATAAATGATATATAAATATATATATAAATGTTTATATATAAATGTCAATGTGGCACTGTTAACTTAGCTTAATATCTAAATGCATAATGTTTTAAAAAAACCATATTTTTTAATTTTTTGTCAATGTTTGAATTATATTTAATACTAAATAAAATTATTACTTACAATGTATTTATTTTTAACCTAGAAAATCAAAAACAAAAATATAAAGATATGTAATCTGCGTCTGATCAAAAAATCGGGAATTCTGAAAGGGTACACGCAATGGGAAAAATATGATTGTTCAAACATCGAACTTATTATTTCATGTATGATAACTAATATTTTGTTAATGCAGTTAGCAATCAAATCAATATCGAACACAACGTATTTTGAGTCGGTAAAACCATATAGAAAAATCACAATTATAATACCAAATTCATACTAAGCTACTAGTTCTTGCGTACGAAAGGAGGCAACGACAAAGTGAAGTTTTTTGGTACGGACTGGACAGACACACAGCAACAACACTTATTCTACTATTGTTTGCGAGGGTAAGTGAACCCAGTAGATAACGGTTCGATCCGTCATCAAAGACTTCTTCAAGACATAAATATATACATGAAGACCGATCGATCCAAACGTATGACGGTCTTCGAAGACATTTTTAAACAAATTAGCTAAATGTCTTCAAAGACATATTGCATACATGTCTCGAAGACTGTCTCGAAAACTGTTTCGAAGACCATGTCTTACATAGCGGACCCATTCGATTGAAAGTTGTGCACTCTTAGCGCAGCTATTCATTTAATTTTTTCAGCATTTTCTTATTTCATCTCTTTTTTTAACTAAATTTCAATTTTCTTTTTAAATAAGTAGAAAAAAATTGTTATATTGTACTTTTATTTATTTTATATAATAATTTTTTACATTGCATTTAAAATTTAAAATTATGTTTTAAAAGTAAATTATAAATTTTATTATAAATTATCATAAATTATGAATACAAGGTATTAAAAATAAATAAAAATAAGTCAAATTAAACAATGAAACTTAAACTTAATAAGTATAATAAAAATTAACTTAAATAATTAACTTAATATATCTTTGTATATCTAAAATTAACTAAAACTAACTTGTTTATAAAAATATTATAAAAACATATAATATAATTTAAATTAATTTATATTAATAGCATTTTGTAATCATCATTTGCTGATTGGTCCGCCTTTCCTTTTGCTCGGAAGTTAAAACTATTTTTAACAAGTCTTAACGCATTCCGCAGGTCTGCTGAAAACTCATTGAGTGATTTTCAATTTCTAGTTGCTTCTGTAAATTGAAACGAATTGTTATTTTTAAAAAGCAGCTGAATGAGAAAAAAAGTTCTATAAGTACCAAAAATAGCATCCAGCAAAAATGGATACTTCCGTAAAAATATTCCCATAAAATATATGGGACAGAATTATACTCTTACTAAAGATGGTTTCAATATTTAAACATTTCCCGATTTTTTTATCAATTCAATCTAAATGAATGTAAAAAACTTAGGTTATTATAAATATAATATATATGTTAAATGATATATTTAATGAATTGAAAATAAACATATTCGTTTGTATATCATATGAAAATTTGTTGTTGAACACTTACAGTTTCCAATTTTCTGTCTCCTTAAATTTCTTATTACTAAATATGATATCCTCAGACGTTTTGAGTGGAAATTTTTGTGCCCACTATACTAAATGTAGTCCCAAATTTTTCCTTCTGCCAATTTGTCCTGCCTTTTTTCCACTTTATCAATCCTTTTATTTAATTGTTTCATATTGTTACCCAAAACATATACGGTCTATATTTCGCATCATATTTACAACTTTAATAACTTTCTGTTATTCTCTATGGAATAAAAAAATTGAAAGAAGTTATTAACAAACATATTAGTTGAAATATATTTTTGTTTTACATATGTACCTGTATCCGCTACTATAAAAGATTCGATGTGTAATTTCTTTTATTCGAATAAATCTATTAACAACCTTACACTTTTATAACCTTATTCAACTGTCCTTTAATTTAAGTATTTACTGTTTTTATAAAAAATTTACTTCTTCTATATTTTTGTTTTTTTAATATTTCATGGTTTACTGATTTCGTTTCTTTATATGTTTTGATTTTTTTAATATTTATCTAACAAAATGTTTATTGTTCTCAACTCAAAATTATTGCGTCACTTCACTTATAAAACATAAGTATATACGTGCAGGGAGTATAAATGTACAGAGATTGCATTTCAAATGGGCGATATTTACTGTTAGGTTTTGACATTGAGTAAAAATATTATAGAGTCGCAATGCCATAAAAATTATTATGGCATTATTATTAAAAATTACACATTAACCCTTTCAGCGCTCACAGTGAACGACAAAATGGTCAAGTACCATATTTCAGAAACAAACCTAAAGCCGCACATAGTCTGGCCTGAGCTTTGTTTCCTGTTCAACGCTAACCCCAATAAAATCCTGGTATTAGTGTACAACCTTAGGAGTTCTACCAACTGGAAAAACACCCGCGAGTGACGCTTAGGTCAATTACCCTATTCCCTAAACCTAAATAACTGTTGATGGCAAAATAAGATATTCTAGGTATACCCCAATAATATATATAGTCACTACAATATGTATTAAATAAGTAAGCAAACTACTTAACCTCAAACCATAACCAATTAAATATATTAAACATATTAATAACACTACAACATACTAAAAAAACAATATTAAAATAAAAAAAACTAAATTAAATTAAAAATTAAATATTAAATACTAAATATTAAATACTTAAAGCCTTATCTGTCCATACAAACGTCCGTACAAAATGGATTTGAAACCCACGAACTCCTTTTCGGGAGCTAAAAATCTCAGTCCTCTAACAGTTACCACTGACGCGTTTCGTCTGGGAACTACCCAGACTCATCAGAGTGGATTGAAAAAATACGTTCGCAGTCATGTATCAAGTATATGAGATTCTGTCCTTTTATCATTATAAAATTCAAATATTACTTACATTTATGCTAACTCCTTACATTTTTTTACTCTTATTAACTAAACAATATCTTATATATAAAATTTCCATGTCACAATGTTAGTTACCGTACTCCTCCGAAACGGCTTTACCGATTTTTACCAAATTTTATATGCGTATTCAGTAGGTCTGTGAATCGGCTACTATCTATTTTTCATACCGCTAAAGTGATTAGGGTGTCCCTATCTAGCAAAAATATCTTTATTGCTTTAACAAAAAATTTTTTTATTTTTGACATAAATTTTGTTTATATTTTTGAAAAAGAAAAATTTTTTTCTTAATATTTTATGTAACTACGCCAACAAGTACATCGAGCATTTACATACACTTCGTTCTTCGTCTTCGCCTTGCATGGCAGATGGAAAATGTACTAAAAATTGAAATCTAAAGCTTTCACTAATGATACTATAACAAATACCGACGGATATCCAATATATCGTCGAAGAAATCCCGATAATGGGGGACAATGGCGGGTGGTGCCGTATTCGCCTCTGCTAAGCTAAACATACAATGCTCATTATTAATGTTGAGTTTTGCAGTTCTGTGAAGAGCATCAAATATATAAGTATGTCCATAAAGGCAGTGATATGGCTGTGTTTAGAGTAGAAAATACTAATATAAATGCTCCTCCAATGAACAAAAACGGTGAAATTACGCTCTACCAAATTGGTCGGTACATCAGCTCCAATGAAGCTGCTTGGCGTATCTTCGGTTTTCTAATTCATGAACGGGATCCAGCAGCTGTTCAGGTAGCCGTTCATCTTGAAAACGGTCAGCGTATTTTTTTCACGAACGAGACAGTGATTGATCGTGGTACAAATCCACCTAAATCTACACTCATTGCATTTTTTTAATTGTGTAATAGTACGGATGATTTTGGTGCCTTTGCAAGAACATTACTCTATTCACAAGTACCACGCTATTTCACATGGGCTCAAAAAAAAATGGATGCCCCGCAAGCAAGTTTCACCAGTTTATGCATGTCTCAATTTATTTAAATCGAACGCTTATTTATAGTTAATCCAAGACACACTGAGTGCTTTTATCTTCGACTGTTGTTGGTTAATGTTACTGGCCAATTATCATTATTATTATTTACAGTCAATCCAAGACAATTTAAATTTGAAGATACAACAGTTGTTGCCAGGGAACTTGGTATCATACAAATTTATTGATTTTAAATTAATAATTTAATAAATGAACTATAATAACTTAAAAATAATATTGTTTGGCGTTTATTTTTATTTTCCTTTTCGTTCATAGCGCTCCATGCCTATTTCATGCATATACCACATACTTACACACTTATAATAAGTAAGTTACTTTTTGTCTACACTAGAATTTATCTAGAAACTAGAAATAATTTATAAGGCAAAACAACGTTTGTCGGATTATCTAGTAATAATATAAAATATA